AAGCACAAACATGTATGGTGAGACTTCTCTACGTCGACTAACCTCGGCTCGCTTTATGAATTTTGATGAGAGATAATTTGGAGCCTGACCAATCATGCATCTAAAGGCCATAGTAGCGTTCCGGTAGTAAAGCTGGCTTTGAACTGAAAGCCAATTTAGTTCCTTGCGAATTGGTGTAACGTGGTCAAATTAACGCGCACCGCTAACAATGCGGCATGCGAAGTTCTGCACCGCTTGTAACTTGTTAACATTACATTTTGAGGTATTTGACCAAACATTGGAACAATAAAATTACCTGCTGAAAACTAAGGAATTAATAATCCTCAAAAGTGTACGTTTGTCGAAAACATGCTTGACACGGTTTATTTGGCCGAGGCGGGACATGCACGAGGAAGCGGTCTTAAATATGTGTTCATCGTAAGTTAAATTAGAATCCAAAATCACACCAAGGTCTCTGGCGGTGTCTGCGGGAACGAGGTCCTCACCCATAAAGGAAAGGGAGCGAAATTGCAATTTTGCACGCATCTGCCTGCTGCCAAATATCATCAGCTTGGTTTTGCCAGGGTTAAGTAACAATTGGTTGTTGGAACACCATTCTCCTATATTAAACAAGTCGTCATCCAAATCAGCAATTGCATCCAGGTTGTCTTTAAGTTCGAAGGAAGTGACTAGCTAACTGCCTTACTTAGTGGTTAAGTTACTAACTGACTGACCTCTTAAACTGACTGGTTCGCTGAAAAACTTTAAAACTTTCTTGACTCACTGACTGACAGACAGACAGAATGCATGACTCAAACAATGAGAAGAAAAAAATGCACATCTCCGTGCTTAAAAGTATTGTAAAATTACATTAAATTTCCAAATCGAGGCCATCAATATGAACTCTATGGTTATAACTTATTAATTACTAACTTTACTCGCCAATTCATCTTGGATGATCCGCGTTAAATAGCGTTTTAACTGCATGCAGCACAGGAACCGCTCCAGCGGGGACACCATAGCGGGTGGGCCGTGTCTGACCGAGCACGGCACGGGGACTGGGGTGCACAACTTGATCAACGCTTTATGAGACAGTATTGTTGGAACAGTGGCAGCCCACGTTCTCGCAGTGAGCGGTCGGGGCGGAGTGGTTGGTTGCTTTAGTCCAGTCCCAGACGGCATTGGTTGAGGAGTTGGAGAGGGCCTGGGTGAAACAAGGTATGACAGAGACGATTGGAAATGAAATAATTTTAACTCTCAAGCCAACCATATTCAAACGGGTGCTTTCACACATAGCTACTCTACCAGATTCTGAGACTGAATGGGAATCTTGAGAAACAGGTTTGTTCCAGGTTTTGTTCGGAAGCTGATTCAGAAAGGATCCCCGGCTTGTGAGCTCGATATTCACCGCTCTCCCTTCTCCGATTTTCTTCCCTTCTCCATACAGGAAGCGCAGATGCTTACCGGGGGAGCTACTAGTTACCAAGCCTACAACGAAAGCGTCGCTACGGGTTTTGTAAAAGCCGTTGCCCGCAGCTGAGGTATGATACAAAAGAAACAATGGCACGTTTCTAAGTCGTGAGCCCATGTGCGCAAAATTTCACTGTTACAATTTTCTGTGTCTAACAAGTTATAAGGATTCCGATCCTTTGCGCATGCCCTCAGGTTGATGTTACCACCCGAGGAGAGAACATGAAGTGATCGAGGAATAAATTTAAGGCATTGTGTCAAGGTTCGCTCGTAGGATCGTAATATCAGAGAAGCTTTCCAAAAGGGTCTCAGGCGGATTCACGACACTTGAGGATCTTTCTCGACGTCAAGTACCTGTCTCTCTGAGGGTGAGAATGAACCCTTTAACCGCTCGGACTGACTAATATATTAATTCTCCCTTCAATTTTACCCCTGAAACAAAGATTGAGGTCATGAGAATTGAGTAAATGATCACCAATAATATAAGCTCTTGATTGTTAGACAAATTCTCCTTGTCAGCACCTTAGGAAATGTATAGAGACCAATATGGAGAAGTATAGAGAATATGCATACTGATGTTGGAGTGTAAAGGGTTAATTCAAGGGTTTATTCTAACGAGAAACCTTACATACGCACCTGTACTTGGAACCCTGGCCGCTACCAGTGAACTGAGGTGACATGGGCCACGACCCTGGTGACGTAACAGGGATGGAGTGAGAGAGAGCTGGAGAAGAGCCGCCTAATGACGGAGTGACAAACTGGTGACTGGTCGCCGGAGATAACACTGGAAGACCGAGAGAGCCGGCAGGAGACTGGGCTAAGCTTTGAGGTGCTGCCGGCGAAGGCTGGAGAAAAGCTGAGAGTTGAGCAGCTGTGATTTAGAAACAAGAGAGATGTTTGTGCGTCCCACAGACGGACATAACCACACTTGAGAGAAGACAGTTCGTTCGAACAGAATCAAAACCCGAGTTCTTGAGGCACCTTCCGCATTGACCGATTCCAATCAACTTTTTTCATTTCAAAAAATAGTGTTCTCTATTTGTTTTTTGTTTATTTTACCTTTGGCCAAAGCTTCACACGTTTTTTCAGGTGGAATCGTCCTTCTAAATATTTCCGAATTCTTTTAACAATAAAAAAGTAAACCTCGTAAAAACAAGAATTCTCGTCTTTGCTTTCATTTACTGATTGTCGTTTGCATCTTTCTAAATTTAAGGCATTTGCTCTTTAATTTACCAGCCAGCTGATATCGAGGCGAAGTTAGAATTAGTGGAAGCAGAAACCGCTGAGCGGTGCAGGCATCAACGTCAACAAAAATGTAATGGATGGTGATTAATTTTACGAACGAACCAAAAGAAAACAACGATAAAGAATGCGAACAGAGACGATGTCAAATCTGTGTGTCGACTGCAATGTCGACAATCACTGATTTATAAGACGAAAACAGAAAAAGTTTTCAAAAGCACAAACATGTATGGTGAGACTTCTACCGGAAAGAGGAAAGTGAAAGTAAAGTTAAGAACGAGTAAAAAGGAGGAGTAATCAAGAGTAAAAACAAGAGAAGATGCATTCTTTCAAAGATGAATGAACAAAAAAGTTGTAAAGGTAGAAAGAATGATGGAAAGGCAAGATACATTGCATTTAGGCACCGCAGTTGTAAAAGAAGCTTAGTTTACAGGGCACAGTTTACAAATTGATTTAAATAATTAGCTACCTATTTACAATTAGGCATATATCAACAGTGCTTGATGCAGATTTGCATTAACAAACACCATTCAACTGCGTTTTTTAAGACATCAATATATCACGGATAATACATCATCAAAAATCTTTCGAAATCAAAATCTTTTTCAGATCATCTCCAACCAAGCAGTAGCAATAATAATAATTATAATAATAATAATTTTTAGTTGAGGTAAAATTTCCTTTCCTTTTTCTTTCCCGTCGAAGCAGACTGGAGAGCAATTAAAAAACAAACATTCTTTCTAGTCATTTAACTGCCACAAATTCTGATACCTCGTACGTACGACAAAAATATTCCTGAGTTTTCTCTGCGCACAGCCTTTCGCCTAATGTAAATAAGCTTATTTTCCAGAAACATCTCATAACAATTCACCTGGCGAACCAACACCATAGATATTGCCTGGACTGTGAACATTCGGCGACGCAGAGAACGGCGATGGCACATTGACCGAGGCAGCAGGGGCCTGGGGCGAGGTGCGAGGGATCATGGGTGATGCAGTAAGATTCGCGGTGCCAGGCACCGGCTGCGGTGACGTAAACTGCGCTTCAATGACAGGTGCGTCTGTTTCCATGTTAATAGGCGAAGGAGGGGCCTCGTCATCGGTAGTTGAAGCATTACGAGAAGTGATTCCCCCGGTCTTGGCAACATCGTCTACGTACATTTGAAGAAAGACCTGTTAGGAAATAAAAAATGAAGTTCAGCTGAATGATCGGTGAATTGCTGTAGTCTTTGTTGTGGTTAATGTCGTTGCGTGAATGTTGTTGCAAATCTTTTCCCTATCGGTCCTTTAACAGGGACAAAAAATATAAGCAAGAGAGGCACAAACACACCTTCAAATTTGGGGTTGGGGGGAGACCTCTGCCCTTGCTTGGATCCACGACACTGTATGAGGCATCTGATAAAAAAACAAGAGAAAAAGGCTCAATCACTTCGAGAGCTGTATAAATATCATTATGGACACTGAAACTGGTAGGTGACTGTAAAGTCGCATCAAAGGTAGTCTAAACAAAGTTTTTTTCAGACAACATTACCAGTTTCAAACGGAATCAACGACTGCTGTTGTTTTTTATGGCGAGAAAAAACGATGAAAATAACCAAGGAAATGCCATCAGCAACTCACGTGCTCAATCATAGACCAGATAAGTAAGAAAAGGTCTTATTTGCTTAACCCAAACAAAAAAAAATCACAGGTCGTTTGTAGATGATATCAACAACGACCTTTTTGTTGTTACAATTGTAATCCATGGAGGACATTTAAGAAATTCGCTTGAAAACTAGTCTTACCTCTGATGGCGACAAGGTTCTTTGCTTGAAAACGAATTTCCGTAGCGTTACTGGCGAAAGAGAGAAATTCAAAAACGTGTTACGTTGTAAATTAATTTTAAACGCACATTTAGACAACCAGCGTAACATGAACTTTGAACGTCCTTCAAAGATCACATTGAACTATACAATAAACAACCAGTGAGTCCTACACGTATTTCGATTGGTTCTTACTTGGGAGCTCTTGGAGAACAGACAAATTGGTGACGTCACCATAAACAGAATTTCGCTTTCTTCTCACATAAAACAAATCGAACCAAGATCATACATCGCTGCGCCTCATCTGCTAATTACTGACGTCATTACCGCGTCATCGGCGATCAGTGACTGAACAGTTACCGTTACTGAACTAGTAACATAGAGGACAAAATTACTGAATGCTGATTGGTCAATGAAGAGGGTATTTTTTCCTTAATTTTGCTTGTGAAGAGGGCAAAATTACTTGCTCACGGATTTGAAAGCGTTTTGAACGCTTTAACTTTGTTTGAAAAAGCACTAACTTTATATTTTCTAAGTTAACTGTTTGTTAGTAGGCCTGGTTTTCAATGTCCTGGTATGTTTGTGCAAAAATAAAATTTTATTCAGCTCATTCGCGCGTTTGTGGTGATTGATTCTTTGTCAATATTGTGGTTCAATTTTATCCTTGGTTTAAATTTTATATTCCATTGTTTCAACCCTATTATCAACATTACCATGACTAAAAACGATGGAAAGTAAAATTTAAACCAAGGATAAAATTGAACCACAACATCAAGATTAAATAGCTTCCTGTGACTGATGACTGAAGAGCGCCTTCAGAAATTCAGTATTTTTCCCTCTATTTCATTAACAAGTAATCGCAATGGGTCCTTGCAAAATTAAGGATAAATATCACTTGTGTTTACAGAAGTTGCTGAAATTGCCCTCATCGCGCAATTTACATACATACGTTACATACATACGTTACATACATACGTGACATACATACGTGACATACATACGTGACATACATACGTTAGTTGACCACTCCCCATGGGGGCTTTTCAGGGCCAATTCCCACCCCTCCCACCCCAGGGGAGGACATTCACAACACAGTAATCTCGTGCGTGGGAAACTAACGTCTCCTACCCCTAACTCTGCAGGGTTAGGGGTAGGAGAAGGGGCGTAGGTTTATTCGTCCTTATCCGAGAAGACTAGGATATCTATCCATTTCTTGATTAAAGAAAGGTAGCAAATTCTCCTCACTTATTTCAAGACAATGAGTATCGGTCCGGCCGGGGCTCGAACCTTCGACCTCCCGCACAACGCAATCCGGCGCTCTAACCAATTGAGCTAACCGGGAGACAAGTGATGTTGATCCTTAATTTTACTCGGCCCCATGCGATTATCTATACTAACACTATTTGCTATGCCGACAAAGGCAAGTGTGCGAAAGTAATCTTTCTGTGCGTAGGAAAAAAAGGAAATAAGAAAAAATTACGTAATACACCGCGTTTTCATACTAGAACAATAACAGCCAAAGGTGCGGCAGCATGCAGGATACCTGTTTCTGTAGACGAGGAGCACATGTGTGGAAGACTGGGGAAGAACAGTAAACTTCCTCCAGGCTGTGAGGGGTCGCTGTCGAGGAAAAAAACATATTACAAGCAGAAAACAGCTCAGGTTGAATACAAAAGAAAACACTGAAATAACAGATCCTGAGGGAATAAACGCTAAGACAACAGAAACCCTAAAGTAGGAAACGGGGTCATCCTCGGTGTAAAAACCTGACGAGGTTTTCTTTGTTTCATGAGGTATTGTTTTGCTGTACGCTATTGTTTATAATGTTTTGTTGTCTTTGTTTTACGTCACTCGTGAGCTTCACAGGTTTTTACACCGAGGATGAGCCAGGAAACGAGAATATAGAATCCAGACCTTTCGTTCCAGAGTCAGTCACGCTAACCACCTGGCCATCGCGTTATTTTAAAATCACTTAGCCGGCTACGCATTTTCTCCGAAGACAAAATGTATAAACGTGAAAGTTCATACTCACATAGACATGTATACCAAGGACTGGCTTATTACTGAGTTTTGCTAGGGCCGAGAGCGGTCGAAAAGTTTCGTGAAGAATCTAAGGACAGACAGGAAAATTAAATTTGGGTTAAAAAAGGGCACAGCACTTGAATCAAAAGCTTTGCAGCTCACTTTTCATAGGATGATTTCCCATCTATAAAAACAGCTAGGCTTTCTTCAGGTCTCTTGATAGTTTGTCATGACATGCACCATGTTTCCCATGATGTCGTATCTTTAAGCTTGTAGTCTAGATTACGCGAGGCCTCCTCTTTTGTCCAAGAAAATCGGAAAAATAACTTTGGCCAAGACAAAAATCCTCCGAGTCAGTGCTCCATCTCGCTGTTCTTTAAAGCTTCGCACCCCACCCACTTTTTAAAGGGAGGGCGTCAGGTTTTAAATATGGAAAGAGCATTCTTCTTTAACGGTCTTGAATCAAAAGAAAAAGCAAAAGTTCTAGCATTCCCTCACAGGAAACAAACCTGCTTAGCGAAAACATTTTGACTAGAACAACAAATAACTCATTGGCCCTTGCACTCCCAAGATCTCATTAGTGATTCCCTTTACTGTCTGCCATACAGTTCTTATGATGTAAGTTAGGAGAATCAATCCCTTCATTGATATTTTTCTTTATTCTCATCACTTGTCTGCTTGGTTTTGTATTGATATTGTAAGGAGAAATTCTGTCTTGGTCACTCATATCTCATTAAAAGTAAAAGGGTCCACTGATCTTCAAGGTATGTGGATATCAGTAAAATACCTGAACAATATACGGCAGATTCTGATGAGTGTTGAACTCTTGTTGCAGATGCCTGGCGGTGTAACTGTGTGGGTTTGCACTCAGACTTGAGCCGCAATATCCAAATGTCAAAACGAATTGAGACTGCTCCACGGACCATTCGAAAGTAACCTAGATAACGAGGATACAAAACAAGATGTTAGAGAAGAGGGTTCCAAAGAGGAGATAGGTCAAGGTTAGTGTACCGTGAGGAGAATCGCGAAAATGTTTCAAGCGTGTTAGTTGAGATCCGTTTGAATCTTCCCTATTCTTAGACATCCTACTGTCCACTTTATTTAAAAATCACTTTTCAGTGCTTGTCGGTCTTATCGGACTCGTATTTTGAAATTCTCCTTTTGTTTGAAGTAATTTTGCACAGCGCGAGAAAGTTACTCCAAATTTTGACACTTTTCTGTAAAAATAGGGCGACGAGAAACGATCCCCAATGATCAAATGGAAAGAATGCCTTGTCATACATTACTTACCAAACTTTGTTTATCAGGGTCGTACTGTAGTGTCAGCTGTTTGTAGTTGTAAGAATAAACACGGCACATGTGACGAAAATGGCTTTGTGAATCTGTCAAACAAACGAGCGAAACAAGTTTATCAAAACGCTTTCGACAGGAAGCACGAATACTTGACAAAACCATTTGGTTTGAGAATATCAAGACCTTTATGTAATTAGATACAGCAAGAACAAATCAGAAAGAACAGCTAACCTTTAAGAAAAGTATCCAACTCCACAGCATGTCGATACAACTTGCAAACACTATACCAATCATTCAAAAGCTTTCCAACCACAAGCTTTGCCCAGTCACTGTCACCTTCTCCACCCTTGTTGTTGCTGGCGTTGCGTGCCTTCCCCTCCTGAATCTTATACTCAAACAACACATGTCGAGTGGGGCCCTTTTCGCTCGTTGAGAGTCCCTCCAGTGGACAGTTGTCCATGATCATCTCCAAGAGACAGGTTCCTTGTGACTCATCGGGAAGCCTCAGCACGCAGTCCAGAACGCTCGGTTGGGGGGCTGGTACCAGTGACGCGTCACAGTCTCTAGAGAGGGGTAGGTTGGACAATCGGATAGCAAACCCAACTCCAGCTTCTGAAGTCAGACCTTGGTCGATAATCTTGTGCCGACTCAACTGAAATCAAACATGGGAAAAAATCATAACAAAAAAGTAATAACAAAGAGAGTTAAATGGTTAAAGTAAACCTAGTGCTCATCCTTTCACATGATAATACGTTTTCATTCACATGCAAATGAAACTCATTTTTACAAGAATGGTTGAGCTGCAGGCCTCGTTTTCAAAAAGAGGCCAAGGGTGATTCGGAAATGGGCCATTTTTGCTGGGATATAACTTTTTCGGTTTTTACTCCACGCAGGCAGAACATCAACGCGATAAGAAACGCAACATTTTCAAACTTTTCGAACCAGTTGAGTAATAAAAACAGAAATAACACGGTGAACGATTCCAAGATCCAAATTTTGAGTGAGTTAGAATTCGAAACGACACAATTCGCATGCTGAGTTTTTCAGTGACGGTTAAAAGTAAAATTTTGCTTAGGTCTTATTTGCAGGACCACTTTCTCTGCGACAACTTGCGGATCTAGGACAAACTGAATCCGTAATAATTACAACTCGTGATTTTTTTATACTACAGGGGTTTACTTCTCTCTGTTAAGAATTCATTTAAGCCAGAATTACCAATGTATGAAAACGTACCTCCTCGCGGAGCTGAACGAACGGCATTCTTGCGTGACAAATGGCAATCACATGACCCATGGTTGGATCATAAGTAGAATTATTTCTTCCTTCTTCTAGAACATCCTTTAAAGTCTTCAATTTCTTGTTTCCATGGGGTTCTTCCCCTGAAGAGTCGAGCTAAAAGACAAACAACATTTTACTCGAAACATCAATCTTCTACCTAGAATAGGAGACGTAATGACTCCAAAGTTCGTGCGCTGAACTTCCGGGTTTGAGCCAGCGTCGTCTCGTGCTGTTCAGCTATTGGATGAGGCACTTGGCTATGAGTTCTAAACGGCTCTTTCTTATATTTTGCTCTCTTTTGACCGATCCTTGTGATCACACAGTGTGACAAACATGCGAAATTCAATTGCGAAATCGAAAGGGTGAGTTCTTAGGAGCTCCTCGGAACATTGTCGAAAAACATGACCAAAAAATCTGTTACTGGTACTAAACCAAGGTACGTCTTTCCAAATCCTTCTTTCCCAAGGGACACTAACCTTTCGCTTTCTTCCTTCACCGTCCTCTCTGCTAGAAAGAAATCCTGCTTGGGTCGTGATAAAAAATAGTTGGACTAATTTCAATAACTACACAAATAAATAGACAAATGAACAAATAAATATACAAATATAAAAGAAATGAAACTACCAGAGAATAGCCTCCCAGAGGAGACAAAATTAAAGGGGCACACCAAAATTGTGTACATTGTAACTTTGCGAACTTGAATAGCTTAAAGTGTGTAGCGAGCATATCATTGTTGAAAATATTTATCTAGTTTATCAAGACGTTTCCTTTTCTATTTTTTTTGTGTGTTTAAAGGTGCTTTGTGAAGTTTCTTCATTTTGAAATTTAGGGCTAAATCTTCACATTGGTAATTTAAAATCTATGTAAATCTTCTGCAACCCTGGCCATTCATGTTCTTTACTTTGGTGTTTTTCTTCCTCATTGAATCAATCTTTAGTGGTTCCTAAAACTGCCGCAAGAAAAGGCCTTGAAATATTATTCCGCAAGCCTTTTCATGTTTTACCTTCAAGCGGCGTCCCAGCATAATCTGTCAGTTTTTGTGCATTCAAGGTGACCATGTGACCAGCGGTCAAGAAGAGCGCGCGTCTCTTTTGTTTGGTCTCTGCGATAGCATTCCTTGCACCATCACAACTTTGCCTTGTTCGATCTTGGCTTTTTATCCCCTCTTTCTTGACCTCAACTCGCTGGGGTTTTTGATCTCCATTGCTTGAGTCAGTTGATGCGCTTGCCTCATTTACTTCATCGCCAAACGTAGGTTTCACTTTTAGGAGATGATACTTTGTGGCGGCTTCTTCCGAATCTTCGTTACACAGTACTTCAACCACCTAAATTGAAGTGAAGACTACTTTCATTTGTTGTGATTTGCTGTGCGCGCGATCCGTGTTAACGCACGATCTTTGCTAACGCGCGATCTGTGTTAACCTATAATCCGTGACAACGCGCCATCGGAGTTAACGCGGGATTCGTGACAACGAAGAGCAGCCTTAACTACCCACATTTCTTTTTAGCTTACAACTGTCATCAGTTGGTTTCGCACCTTATTTTCAGTTTCAAAACGGCTCTCACAGGTTCCTTTCGAGTTCCAACCTGAGGTTTTTGGAAGTTCGAGGGACAACGACAAGCTACAACTGCTCCCACCGCGCGAGAATTTCGTGAGAGTGACAAGGCAAAGTCTCTTTATAGTATCCCCTATCTAAACATCTCAGTATACTACGTACGACAGAAGTTCTTTCTTTTTTAAATATAGAATCACTTACCAGACAGTAGGATGGATGGCGGCGGAACTGGATGAAAAGTTTGTGTTTGCTGAGCTGCGATAATTTGTGATCTGCTAAGTTCACTACTGGTAAAGACGAAGACACGGTGACGGGAAGATCAACGGTGGATTTCATGTATCGCTTGACATAAAGCTGGCACCTGTAAACGAAAAGCGTAGGGCACTGAAAACTGATGTAAGTACACGATTTTCGGCCTTTAGGAGCCAATCACCGTTTTAAACTTAAGTTTGCATCAGCGACCTTAAATAGTTTCAAATATTCATTTTTTTATACGTATAATCGATAGTTGGAATAATCTGCCAAAGGAAATCGCTGAGGTCACCTTGTAAATTTTGCTAGTTAACGCCAAGTTTTTATTTTTGATATATTGTATATATAGTTGTATCTTAATTAATGTCGTAATCTATTTTATTATCAGGAAACACTTATTGACTGACTGCGGACTTACTGTCTGACTTTCTGATTGTCTGTCTGTCTGACTGACTGTCTGACTGACTATCTGACTGACTAACTGGCTGATTGGCTGACGGGTTAGCTGACTTACTGGCTGACCGACCGACTGACTGACTGACTGTCTGACTGATTGACTGACTGACTGTCTGTCTGTCTGTCTGACTGATTGAGAGACTGACTAACTGACAAACCGACTGACTGACTGATTGACTGACGGGCCAACTGACTGACTACCTGGCCGGCTAGCTAGCTGACTCGCACTCTGACTCGCTGCTAGGTTTATAACACGGGATAATAGTAGGTAAAATGGGGATTTAGCAGTGGATATTCCACGAGGTGGCTCTTCTGTTCCACTGTTTCCAGGTCGAATTGGAATTTAACATATTGATTTTGAGGAGGGAGGAAAACCTGAGGACCTGGAGAAAAAATGCTCAGAGCAAGGACAAGAACCAACAACAAACTCAATAATAATATTAATAATAACTTTTATTTATATAGCGCTCTTATCCTATGTTCAAGGCGCTTTACAACACTGTGCGGGGGGCTTTACCAGACTGCCAGTGACAGTTTAAAATCAACAAAGGCGAATTTTTTACAGATGCCCCCTCCTCCCAATTCCCAGTAAACAGGCCAGACCACACCAGGTTCGGGAATTGAACCTGGGCTACAGTGGTGGGAGGCAAGCGCCTCACCACCACGCCATCCATCCCCTCCCCTCTAAAGAAACCATGGCGCTGTGGGGGGTTACTTCAGGACAATTTGGTTTCTTCAACTGAGTTAATAATGTGAGTTGGCCACCGTGAAGGAAAGAGTTAACATAGGTGACGTTTGAACGTTAGCTTAAGAAGCTCTTTACGGTGGCTAACTCACATTACCAAGTCAGTTGATAAAACCAAATTATTTTGACTGACTGACTTGCTGTCGGGCTGGCTGTTTGAATGGCTGCCAAAATGGCCAGCTAAATAGCTGGCTGGCTCGCTAGATGGTTGACTGTAAATGACAGTCGTTTCACAGTAGTTACAACAGCAGAAGTAGCAGCAGTGATAGTAACAACTATAATAATAATAATAATAATAATAATAATAATAATAATAATAATTGAACACCTTACCTTGCATCTCTTAACACAGTAAGAAATTGGTCCAAGTTTGTGTTTAATGTGTTTTCAAGCTCTGTACAAACAGCATTATCTACAGAGAAAAACAGACTTGTAAATCAAGGACTCCAATGACTTTGAAATACATGAAAATGTACCCTACACCATACTCTTGCAGCAGCTTTTGACCACCACAACATTTCATATTTACGAATTTGTAAGTTCCCTCACCTTGAAAATTTCAGCAAGATGAACTTTTGCATGAGTGGTATGCAATATTGGAAAAGCTGTCCCTCTTCTTTCTTTTCCTCTTTCTTTTTTTCGTTTTTTTTGTCGTTTTCTTTTTGATAATTATTTCATTCATTTTTCTGGCGACTTAAATGTCTGATCTAAAAAGGCCCACTGGTTTTTGCACCAAACGTTGTTCTCACCTTCACCACTACCCAGTGACACTTGAAATATTCCGTTCCTATTTCCAACTGTGACAATTAGAGTCTCTGCAGGGGTGGGCTTAGGCATAACTTGTATCACAAGACTTGGGCAAAAGTCATCCAGTGTAACTGTGACAAAGAAGAAAAACAACTAGATTACTAACAGGAAGAAGCACATCTTGTCAAGCAGTTTTAGAGTTAATCTGCAGTGATACTAGCAGTTCCTATGGGCAGTTTATTAGCTAACTATACGGTATATGTAAAATTAATGCACATCTTTAAATCTTCGTTAAATCTTCATTGCACAATACATGAAGAAATTAATACTAATCACAGGATAGGAAGGAATACCGGTAAGTAGATTGACCCTCTAGTCACCCTAACATATCCCCTAACATCAGTATGCATATTCTTCATACTGTTCTCTTTACATTTCCTAAGGTGCTGACAAGGAGAATTTGTTTAACAATCAAGAGCTTCTTTAGTTGGTGATAATTTCCAAGGCTGTGGTCTAGCAGTACCCAGTGGTCCCTGGCGCCTTACTTTTGCTCTTGGGCAACTCAGGAATTTTAGTTTTTTTACACAAAGCATATGCTGGGCACCCTGGATTTCATCGTTTCAGAGCACTGGGCTCCATTCAATTTTCCTTAGAGCACAGCCTTGATTTCCTTTAAGGAAAGCTAAATACATATAACATTCCACAATTTTACAATACCAATGAAATAACAAGCTTGTGTGTATGTACATGTATGTGCTGGAGTTGCAAAAAATGCATACCTTTGGATTTCAAGGATGAATCCTGCATCAACATCTGTAGCAGTCCCTAAAAATTAATACACATTTCAAAGATGGTTTTCTTGTACTTACATGCACCATGTACATGCCATAGTTCAAACATAATTTTTTTCTAAATTATTTCTTACCGATTAAGTTTGTAATCACCTTTGCTTATGAGGTCTATTAGCTTAGAAAAAGACAAAAGAAACCAAAGCTTGTTTGCAAAAAAAAATCTACAACAGTGAAAACTTTGAGCCACAACTGTTCCCTTGGACATTGAAACCTGTTTGAGTCACTAAAATTAACCACCATAAGCAATACAATCAAGGATAGGTAATAAAAATTACCAATTCAATCTTGTTTTTACCTTAAGCTTCACATTTGACTGAGCTTTTATGGTATGTGTCAAGAGCTTTTCTATGTACAGGTCACCAGGCTGAGAGCAAAAACAAAACAAAGAATGAATAAATTCTTTTTAGTAGCTAAGTTCTTGCCAGAAAACAGGGGCACATTTTGTAGTAATACGCTTAGCTGCCAAGCCCTTTAGACTAAGGGTGCTCTTGTTTCCTTGTTTACCATTCAGTGACCAAGGCTTGGCAACTAAGCATACAACAGTACTGTACAATGGACCACTACATAAACGAAATAATATTTCTCTGCTTACAATGACTTTAGAGATGCAATCCTGATTAAACTCAAAAGGAAGAGCTGGTGAGTGCTGGACACAGAGACTGGTTGGATCATCAATAGAATCTTCACATATCGTTATTTTATGACCTGCAGTAAAAAGAATATTATCATGGTTTGCAATTATTTAGGACAACACAAAAATTGTTTATTCATATACTTTGTTTCTAGATGAATTCAGGCTAGTGGAGCAGTGCTAAAATACAAGGAATGAAGATGGGAGGTTTGGAGGAAAGGAACCAGTATCTCATTTAAATGGACAGTGCATCACAAATGCACAAAAGTGCGCAACTTGCCTGTTTTCTGACCTTGTTGAACTGGGCTTTTATTTCTGTAATATATGATCCATCAAAAATAGTTAGCACATCTTAACAGAGCACAACTAATGGTAACTATTTCTCTCTGTCCGACCAAATACACCAGTCCTGTAAATTCACTTGTAACCATTAAACAAATTGCATGTTCCTCTACATAAACCAAGTCAATCAAACAAACAAACAAAAAATAAGAAGAGAAACAAAATTTAGTCTCTAACACGCAATAACTGCAAATGTTTTCACATTATTCTGGAGAATTCTTAATTTAAGGCAGTCTGAGCGAGAGTGTCACCAGTTGGTTAAATCTCAAAAGATAGACGTACCTCCAATATGATACAACAAGCGTTTTGCCAATGGCATACTCCTCTATTCGAATGTTATCTCCCCATCGTTCAGCCATCAACTGCTTTGCCTGAAACAATTATTATGTTATGTATACATTACTGAAACACTTAGTATAAGATAGTAAGTATGCAGCAAACCTAAACATGAAGACCTTGCAACTGAAGAGAAGTATAAATGTAATGCATGTAACAAACCTAAAAGTGAAGAACTTGCAACTAAGAAGTATAAAATGCAATGCATGCAACGAACCTGAAAGTGAAGAACTTGCAACTAAGAAGTATAAAATGCAATGCATGCAACGAACCTGAAAGTGAAGAACTTGCAACTAAGAAGTATAAAATGCAATGCATGCAACGAACCTGAAAGTGAAGAACTTGCAACTGAAGAGAAAGACAAAATGAATCTGCAAACAATGTTAAGGATCATGTCCAAAATAAGAAAACATGCATTATGCACTCAGATTGAAACAGTCATCTTTGACAGATGGATGCCACTTTGATGTTGCAGAGCATACATCTGGTATTCACACCACTCTTCCTGTTTCCAGCGCGACAGACATCAGTGAGAAGCATGGTAGCTTTAAGTTTAGTCAGCTAAACCCCTCAATGAATTCTGCTGATTCAAGCCCTGGTTGAATTCATCATACTACATTGTATGTTCTTCAGAAACATACTTTTTTCTTTTTTTGTTTCGAACCAGAATAAATACTGTACCTAATTTGTAGCACTACGGAGGGGAGGGGAGGGGAGGGGAGAGGAGGGGGATGAAGTTAGTTTATGAGGGCCTGGCGATGGAGTTTGCTTGTGAGGGCCTGGGAAAGGAGTTAGCTTGTGATGGCCTGGGAAAGGAGTTAGCTTGTGATGGCCTGGGGTTGGAGAAAGCTTGTGAGGGCCTGGGAATGGAGTTAGCTTGTGAGGGCCTAGGGATGGAGTTAGGTTGCAAGGGCCTGGGGATGGAGTTAGCTCATGAGTACCTGGGAATGGAGTTAGCAAGTGAGGACTGCGGAATGGAGATGTAGCTTGTGAAGACCTTGCACCCAGCCAGAAGGAGTAACAAAATACTGATCAATCCATGCTTAAGAAACTGGGATAAGTTCCAGCAGTAACACATGTATATGAGAAACCCTTTCTAATGCAGATATGTTCCATTTACTTTCTACCACAAGAATGAAGCGATAAGAAATAAATACAAGCAGACTCAGTGTATGTACTTTTCTGTAAAATTTTATGTGCTAACATGTCATATGTACATGTATAACTTATTACAATTGAGATCCACAACATTTAACTAGGAAATAAACAAAAGAAAGAACAAGTTGGACGAAATAAAAAGGGGCCTGCAACTTAACTGTAATTATTATAACAATGTTTACAAGTTGTAATAAAGGATACGTAAACATTTGTACAAATCAACAAGAGGATTTTCTTCAGCAAATAGTCTTGACTGCACAAGCTGATGAATGTACTGGGTCTTGATAAAAGCCACAAGAGTAGAGAAAAATACAATGTAGTAATCATGTACATCTACTCTATACAGTTTTGTGCTTAAAAGGTAAAACTGTTTATAATGACTATTGTTTAAAAAAAATGTTCAAGATAAAAATGGAATTTCTATATACTAAAATTTACCTGAAGGGCGTGAACAAGGGACTTGCCATCTGTTGGTGAAAGAAAACATTCATACTTTAGATTCAAAATATATTGAAATAAATGAAACTTGACATTGTGTGCCTTCAAGAAGTAAAACTAGTTCTACTATTCAACAGCCTTACCTCCAGTTTCCATATCCTGGACCAAAAAGTCGATAGATAAAACCCTCCATGGGATGGAAGAGTCATCACCCATGAGAGTTAACATCACCTACAAGGATGGAAGCAATTAATAGCATAGAAATGAATTCAAAAAAATGTACAGTGTGTACTGTACACTAACAAATTATTTATCACTCCACCAAAGGGGCTTTTCAGGCCCAAAACAATTAAATTGGAAACAGACATTGTAAATAAACGTAGTGTTTGAAAATCCCATCTGGCAATTAATAGGCAGACCAGTTGGCTATCTCTAAAATGAAGGCAGGGAGTTGAACTCAAGGCAAACCAAAAAAAAAAATCTAGTGAGTGGCACAGTGGAGGTTTAAACCCAAGACCACTATGATACAAGTACAGTCTCTTTTAAACCAGTTGGGCACACTGCCTCCAGGAAGTTATGGAGGGCTCTGAACATTCCTGGCTCTCCTCCTAGAGCTTAAAAACCATACCAGTAAGCTTAACCTGATGGCTTAACTGACCCTTTCCCTTCCAAGATCTCATTAGACATTCTCATTACTGTCTGCCAGACAATTCTTACATGATGTTAACTAGAGAATTTGGTATTGGATCAACTAATAATCCTCTGAATGATATGTTTATTTTTTCTCATCACTTCTCTGGTTGATATTGTAGCAATATTGTAAAGAGAATTTATGTCTTGGTCACTCCTGAGAGTTAAGGGTTCTATCCCTGAACAAGGGTGTAGCCAGGGGGGGTCCTGGGGTGCCTGTGACCCCCCTTGATAGGCCTTCTTTTGAGCAAACAACCTATAATATTCAGGTGGTGAAAATGCCATGACAATATCTTGGCCTGCCCACTATACTCTCACTGCTGATCCCAAAACTGTAGCATGAAGTAAAACATGCACGGCGGGGAGGTCGACATAACAATCTGGTGAGTAGCCTCTGTGACCCCCCCCCTTTGAAAAATCCTGGCTACACCCCTGCTGAAGTTGATGGGAAATCATCCTATATCAATTGTTACAAGTACAATGTACCTCAAATTCATGTTCCACTCTGAACTTTACTCTTCCATCAGCTGCAAGAAAATAAGAACACATGAAATGACATAATCACCTCACATTTTAAATGCAATATCACTATTAATAGAGGATCCTGTAGGTGCAGTATAGCATGTGATGTATCTATCTGATCAGCAGGTGCAAATCATGGTGTTCCTGGTCAACATAAAATTATTGGAAATAAATGGCTTGCTTTTTGAGAATTAGCTGGAAAATACTCAAAATTAGAGTGCAGTAAATAATAGGGACATTTTGAGAAGACATTTCTTTTTCCAGTCCTCCAACTTTGGCAACATCTTCTCCCAGCACCCCTGACCCAAATACTCCCACCCTCAGAGGTCATCTACGTGTTAAGTATGAAAAATTCCCTGACAAAAAATTCTGTACAGCTGCACTGGTGTTGATTCTCTGTATTGAACAATCTGATTACAAAAGGAAAGGGAGAAAATGTCAACAAACATTTCTACAAACTTCCCATCACAGGAATTATTCTTACCAATAATCATCTGACCCATTTCGGGTGGCAGTTTAGAGGTCACCAGTCTGTGTTGAATTACTTGATTCAATCTCTGCAGCGTTTTTGTCTTTTCCACAGTAGTTATAGGGTCTGGAGGTACAATTTTATCCTGCAAGAAAAACATTTATCAAATTTAATTGGGCATTCTTTCAGAACAAAGCTGACCTAGCCAAAATACAATTATTTGAAAAATAAATTTTATTCAAACAGTTTCCAACCAACCACAATAATTTAATGCGAAGATAGATTTGTCTCTACTTTACTGATAATTGTCACTCATGTCATACATCTTTCATTATAAATCATATTAATTGACTAAAGAAAAAAATTAACAGAGCTCACCCTAATACATGTTGGAAGGCGAGGATAAGTCCCTCCAGTCAGGACATCCACTGCTGCTGGCAGACAAAAGGTGGGCAGTCTATAAAACACCATGAAAATGAGCACATCAATTGTGAGGAAAATTTTTTTAACACCATCTTCCAAGTTAAAGGGTGAGATACCACAATACAATGAAATACAAAAAAAAAATTATCATGTCAGTCTTGATCTAAATCTTAACAATAAAAAATTGTAAAAGAGAAAAATATTGAAAATAAAGAAACATCAAAGTTCTTACATTAAAATTATACTGCCCTTATGCACCCTTTTTCTTCATCAAGAAAGCTAAGACCAAAATCCAAGCAACCAAAACTCGTTTTCTTACCTTGCCTTTACAAGAGTTTCTCGGGACATTCTTGCCAACATGTCTGCAGTGTCTACAAACAGCATAGACTGTTTGTCCAAAATAGTTGAGATTGCCTGAAATAATATTGAAGGAGTTAATAATAAATAAAAATACTTAAAGTTAGCATTAATTCAGAGAAACTTGAAATGTTACAGTGACTAGAACATTGTTCTCAACATACAGTTACTGTACATACTTGCTGGTCTACAACATGTATCAGGCAATCATTTGTTCTCTTACAATCTTGTCTAGTAATCTTCAAGTCATTTTCCTTTTCTTTTGCTTTGATCTGATTTTTTTTTATTTTTAAATTACTATGAATGTTGTTTATATCTGACCACTTGCAGCCCAGAGGCTGAATTACAGGTGCAGTGTAAGGTTGAGAACAGACGTCA